TTAACTCAAACAATTTATGAAGAATAACAATATCATGTTCTTTAACAGTTTATGAAGAAAAACAATGTCATGTTCTTTAACAGTTTATGAAGAAAAACAATGTCATGTTCTTTAACAGTTTATGAAGAAAAACAATTTCATGTTCTTTAACAGTTTATTTTTTCATGGAAAAGGGTTTCAAGTATTTGCATTTTCTTCTTCTGTATAAGTACGTGTGTGTGTGTAAGTATGTGTGTGTGTGTAAAAGCACGTGTGTATATATATAAATGTAGATAAAAAAACAATAACATTTCATTTAACATCTGAAGGAAAAAGAGCTTACTACAACAGCACATCTCTACCTTAGAGGATTTTATAATCTGAAGAAACTTGGCTAAAACTTGAACATTTAAAATATAGAAAGATAGATACAAAATACAGAGTAGGATAGTAAAATGTATACTAGTATAAAAGACATTTCTAAATGTAGAACCTATAAAGAAGCAGGAGTATCCCATATCTCAAATTTAATCACTACTTTCAAATTTTACATGTCAAATAAAATTAACATTTAAAATTAAGATTATATCCAAGTTCTGAAGTTCAAAATATCCCTTATTGAAAACTCTCTTTCTGTAGTAAGTTGTGAGATGATAGTCGCCCCTACGGAAAGAGGAAAATAGAACACCGAAGTGACATAGAAAAATCTATGTTGTCAAGCTGTTAATCCAGCCGTCAAACACTTGAACTAACACCATAATGACATCTACCTGTATATAGATATGTTCTGTTTATTTGTTTTTGAATTTTGTGCAAAGTCACACAATGGCTATCTGTGCTAGCCATCCCTAATTTAGCAGTGTAAGACTAGAGGGAAGGCAGCTAGTCATCACCCCCCCCCAACCATCAACTCTTGAGCTACTCTTTTACCAACAAATAGTGGGACTGACCGTCACATTATAATGCCCCCAGGACTGAAAAGGCGAGCATGTTTGGTGAGATGGGGATTCGAACCCGCGACCCTCAGATTGTGAGTCGAGCACCCTAACCACTAAACAGAGAGAGGAAAACAGGAATTCATCAATCTAATTGTATAGTAAATCATCCAACCTCTTGCACAGTCAGTATGCTCACACATATAATCAGTTCTGAGTAACTACACCAACCATCTAGAAACTTTTCTAAAAGAAATTAAAGCTAAGAAAAGACAAAATTAAATGCTCCAGATAATGCATGTTGTTTGTCACAAGTTACAATTTTCACTTTATTTGATATTATAGACAGCATTTGGTAGGATTCTTGAGACATGCTAACTAGCTTGTAAAGCTTAAAATTTACTTATTGGCAAAATGTGATTTCAAGTGGTTTAGCTTTACAAGTGAAATTAGGAATATTTTTTATGATGAAGTAAAAATTGAGACTGTATGAAATTTAATGTCACAGCTCTGCTTGCAGGATGGATGCTTTAGTTAGCTAAATTATAGCTCTTGAATGCCGCAAGTCTCAGTTTTCATGAAATTTACTCTTTACAATGTAATAAAAAGTTTCATTAATGTCTTAATTTCGAACTTTTTTGACCATGTTGTATAAATAATTACAAGTTTTGAATATTGTTGTTGTTCGTCCATCAAGAAATGATGAAGACCATCTACTCATTCAGGGGGTGGGACTGGGTTTGGGGTTGATTTCGGTGGGTACGAAGGTGACTGTTCAGGCCAATTGGTGCACGGAATTTCTTTGGCGGTGTGGACAAGGAATGGTGGCTGAGCTTGGAGATCTGTCGGCTCTTGCTTTCCTAGTCTGGCGACGGCGTTCAGCGGCCATCATTCTGTTGGCTTCACAGGATTTGGCACCATTATGAACAGCTGTTCGCTATGTTGCTCTGTCCTGCGCAGTCCTCACCCAGTTGTTGGTGTTTATGGCAAATGCCTTCAACTCAGCTTTCAGTGAATCCTTGTATCTTTTCTTCTGCCCTCCTAGGGTGCGCTTCCCATCCTGGAGTTTTGAATAAACTAATAGCACATAAGGAAAATACAATATATTCTAGTTTGTTACAAATTCTACAGTTTTAAGTAACTGTGAAATTATAACATCATAAAAGAATGTTACCAATAAGTAATGAAAATTTATATATTTTTATGATTTATTAAAATATACCTACAGTAACAAAACAATTATTTTTATATCTAAACCTATTTAAGAAATTTCACTATTGTTTTCTATCTCTAACTTATTAGAGCTACCATTACCACTATTCTGACTACTCAAATTAATTAGATCATCTATGCATCTATATGTTAAAGTCAATAAATTTTAGTAAATGGATGTTTCAGAGATGAAATAAATTTTCATAAAGCTTAATGAATGCAATGAATAGCTTAATGAATAGTAACCACAGAGTAAGTCATAAAGTCGCATTTTGGTACCATCAACTAGGATTTGTTTTTGATGTGATTATTTTTGTATTTGATTCTAGAGTTACTGTAAAGTTTACAAACCGTGATTATGGGAAAGTACTTTCTGAGACCAAGATGAATTTACATTGGAGAGAAAGAATATGTGATCGAGAGAGCAAAAATGAACAGAAAAGTCATTTCCTAGATATTGATAAGTGGCAAGAAAACAATAGCTGCTACATTGTGACCCTTACTGTCTGAAGACTGATAAACCAACAACTGAAAACCACAATGTAGCAGCTATTACCCTTACGGTTAAGGATTGAATAGTGGCCACATGCCAGAGGATTGGAAGATGGCTAATGTTATTCTGCTTTTCAAGAGAAGTGATGAAAATTGAAGAATCTCTGCTCCACATGACAGTCGTAGAGCAGTTTCATTACACCTATCCCATGAATCAGTAAATAGCTTTCGTAACTATTTCCTGGTATAGCAAATAACACTTATAGTTGAGCTTGTGTATGACCTTGACCGTATTTAGTATGTTTCGTATCAGAACTTCAGAAAAATGTACAAGTATTAAAAGTAAGAATGAGCCATGTGGTATTATTTGCACAGCAAAGTAAAAATCATAATGAGTCCATTGTTTTTATTTATGTTGATGAAGGAACATTTTGCAATCATGGCACCTGGAGCACTGACAGATTTTGATTTTATAAAATTAAATCAGTTTTACTTGTTCTGTCATAAAGAATTGAAATATTATCAACAGTTTACAAGGAATTTTTATTTAGAAATATGTTTGACTTATTAGATTAAATTACTTTCAAACTTTGTGACTGTTACATGATATTGTTTCTGAACAAGTTAGTTATTTCATACAAATTTTGTGTTAACAAATCATCTACTTTACAAGCAGTGACAAATCTTAACTGTGAAGGTTAGTTAAACCGTGTTCACTACACTAATTTCCTTTCTGATACAATTACAACATAATCAAAATAAAGAAGTCAGATCATGCCTGATTTCACAAATAGGTTCAGAATCATATTCATGTGGTCAACATAAAAAGTATGTTATAATATTGCCTATGAATTAATATCAATTTCAGGAGAAAATGTAAGGTATTCTGCATTTCTTACCTACCTTACCTAAAAGACTTGGGGCTCTGCCTTAGCAGTCAAATAATGGTGAAGGAAGTTCACATATATTTGTGATGGTTGTATTCATGACTGCATGGAGTTGGGGGAGTTAAGGGTTTGAGTACAGTATCTTTACATGAACTGTTTTACAGAAGCTGTGGATATTTTTACTTTCATCTTCTAGAGAAGAGATTTGAGCCTGACCTTACTATAATGAAAGACATCTTATTAGGAGATAATAAATAACAGGACCTACTAGGAATGGCTCTGAGAAATCCTCTCATGGAAGAGAACCTGCTGCAACCTAACATGGGTGAGCTGACAAACAATCATGCTGTAAAACACAGACTGAACACCGATGCCAAAACCATAGCAAACAATGTCAGAGACCAGTGCAGCTGCATCAACAAATTATAGTGCACCAGGACCAATGTCGCAACTTTTGGCCCCCTTCCCAGTTAAGAGAATTAAGACCACATTTGTACTGATATCACAATGAAGTATGTAATGTCACAACTTGTTCACTAACTTTTGGCACCCCTTCCCAGTTAAGAGAATTAAGACCACATCTGTACTGATATCACAATTAAGTATGTAATGTCGCAACTTGTTCACTAACTTTTGGCACCCTTCCCAGTTAAGAGAATTAATACCACATCTGTACTGTAGTTGTTCAATGAGAGGATGTTTTATACAAGTCCATGATGGAAGAACAGCTGTTTTAAAATTAGATCTGACTCTGATTAGGTCTATATACTGTAAGGGTTTAAAAATAACACATGACTACAATGATGGTTCAACAAAAAAAAATTTGTTAAACTGTAACAACACTTAGAAGAAAATTTATTACTTACCAAAAACACTGTTAATAAACATATCCTTGGCTAGAATTTTATACTAATGTTAATGAACAATAAAACATAAATATTACTATTAATTATTTCAGTTAATGGAATCAGGAAAAAAGACCAGAAGAAGAAAAAACTTAATTAAAAAAACAACACTTTTCTATGTTAATAACAATATTGAGTGACAAACAGCAGTATCTATACCATTCACTAACTACCTTGTGACGCAATTTACGAAGGTTATGGCAAGCTATTCATTCACTTCATTAGGCCACAAGAGTACATTTCATGTGGTCATAAATTTACAAAATCTTTTGCTACATTAGAAAATCGAAGTGATGATATTAATCATTTTATATATAATATCCCAATTTCATATCATTACTCCCCCCCCCCCCCTATACTGACATCATAAATCATTTACAGTTTAAGTACAGATACCTCACAAGTAAAATACAATTCATCTTTTCGAAGCTTCAGCTTGATCTTTTCTAGCTTACAGCTCTGGCTTACCAGAAATTTAAGAGTTCGAAAACCAGCTAACTACGATAATCAACTATGCAATATGGCTGCATTGTCCTTTGAGGAGGAGACAGAGGTAAGTCATCAGCAGGATCCACTGAAGAATGAGAAGTGGACACACCAGAAAAAGTCCTTTGTCTTGTGGGGGAAACAACCTTAGAGTCTTCTGTAATCAACATTTTCATTTTGCTACAACTGCCTAGGATGATTACCATCTTCTTTGGTGTCATGGGAATTTGCACTAGGTAAATATATATATATATATCTTTTTATATTAGAAATATGAAATTGTCCTATAACTGCATCTAATCTAGGATCTTTTAATTCATACACTAATGGAGTAACACACTTTGTAACTTCAAACTCCATTTCACCTCGGAGCAAATTTTGCAATAAAATTATTTAGTGCAGAAAATAAAGGATGTGTCCTTAATAATACTAAATCACCTACTTTAAACATGTCTGGGCATCTCTTATAATTGTAGGCTTGTTGCTGTCACTTCTGAGCCTTTTCAATGTTGGTTGGATTTGTCTTCTGTATGACATCTTGTAATTCTGCTGTTTGTCCATCTATGGTTTCAGGTGATGCTGGGTATTTCATCAGTCGGTACCAAGGAAGGAAGTTCTGTTCTCTAGTTTTAACACAGACAGTGGCAAAAAGATTAGGTCATAGCTTACCAACATCCAATTCTGGAGTTTTTTCTGGCAGATCAATAGGATGTCTAGATAGGGCATGAGGTAACTGGTTATCTTTTTTGTATGTGTAAAGTATTTCAAATGTTAAGTCCTGCAATTTTAATAAGCAACTCATCAGTCTACCAGTTAAATCTGGAGCTGTCTGTAACCATTTCAAGGCAGCGTGGTCGTTATAACTGTTAAATTCTACTCCATCTATGCATATCTTACATTTTTTTTACAGTCCAGACTATGACTAGACATTCTAATTTTATAGCAGTATAGTTTCTTTCTACAGAGTTCACTGTTCTACTGGAAAATGTTGTGACACCTTTCTGACGCAGAATTGCTCCTAATCTAACATTTGAAGCATCATTATGCATAAAATTGTGTTCACCTTTTCTTGGAAGTTGCAAAACAGGAGATTCACATAAAGCCTGCTTTAGTTTCTGGAATGCATCCTCACACTATGGAGTCCTTCTCCACCTGATATGATTCCTTCCTAACTCATATAAAGGTTCGGCAACTGTAGCAAAGTTTGAAATGAAAAAGCATTCAAAATATCACTTATATGAGGCAATAGATAATGGTCAGATTCTGAGACTGTAGTCTAAACAGAACCCAAAATAATTGATCTTCTTCTTGAAAATAACTACTGGAGAAGGCCAAGAAGAAGTGGAGGGTTCAATTAATGCATCACGAAGCATTTCATCCACTTGATCATGTAGCACTTGTAATTTAGTAGGAGAATAACGATAAGGTTTACTAAACATTGGCTTTTCCGTCATGGTTACATTACTATGTTCAGACAAATCCGTGAGGCCAGGTTTATTGTTAAAAATATTGGCATATTTTGACTCAAATTGTTTTAATTGTTCACAGTCACTCTTTAAATATGAAAATTGTACTTCTTCAACCAGTATATTTTCAGCCTCAGAGTCATGCCTAACAGATGGCACATTTAATTGAAGAACATTTGTAAAGAAGTTTAGGGTTGCTTCATTTTGCTGAATGAAGTCTAATACAATAAAACAGGAGACAGTCAAACCTATAATGACAACAAAACATTGGTCCAAAATGCTATTTGTTACCCAAAATATCCTAGCAGTTGACAATTAATCATTCCATCTGCAAGACACGTGTTACCTTTACTCCAAGTTTTTAAATGAAGAGTTGGATAAATTCTCTTGATTTGTTGCCATATATTTCCATTTATTACTGAATAATTTGACCCAGTGTCAATTCAACTTATTACCTTCATACCATTAATTATTAGTCTTAGGCATAGCAGCTCCATTTTCATTGTTGTTAAAAAGTTAATGGAGGCTTTTACTTTCACAGGATTCAAAACCTCCTTCTTTGATCCCTGTTCTTGTTTCCCGACTACTGTCCTTCATTTCTTTGTTTCTTTAAGTGGCCCTCTCCTCAAACAAGAAGTTGCAATTTCCACCTATTTATTCTCAGGGACTTGATGCATATAAAAATGCCTTTCCAAACTTTTAAAAAACATTAAAATCTGACTTCCTGTTGAGTTTCTCAACAGGCAGAGGCAGTGGGTTGACTGCTGTGACATTGATGCAAATTAAAAAGAACAAAGGTCCTAACACTGAGCTCTGAGGTACCCCACTTGTGACATTTACCCAGTTTGACTGAACTCCATTTGTAATAAACCCTCTGCTTTCTTCCATCCAGCCACTCTTCTATCTAATTTGCTAACTTATCCCCCCACATCTATAGAACTATTTTTTACAAGCCTTTTATATTGGTATAGGAGAAAATTTTCTCTTCTGGCTTGTATCAATATGTCTATTATTACACCCTAAAATTATATTAGCTTTATTAACAGAAACTGACCACTATGTCCTAATACATTTTCAGTAAATTTATTAAGTAGGCTTCAATTTATATTAAATGTGCTTCAAATCATGATAACTCCAGGAAATTTCCTTGCATATATTATTAAAGGTAATTTGCCATTATTTTTTCAAATTACATCTCAATCCAAATGATTCTGAATTACTTCAAGATCCCCAATACTGCTAGGAATATTCAATTAATGTCATGGTCAAACTTTACTAACTTAGTCACACTGATGTCATTAGGGTAAACAAAAAACGAAAAAGCCCAATCATTGGCCCCTGAACATGCCACTAGTAGTAGTACCAAATGTTCAGTGTGACTGGACTCAATTAATACCAAATTTAGCTGTCTTTCATCCAGTCACCTTTCCATAACCCTTATCAGTATGATTTTCTTAGCTAACTTTATATATGACATGCTATCAAAATCCTTCTATTTCATCCAGGTACAACAAGTCCAAACTCTCTCCATCATCCAGATAGCAAGGAACATTTTCCAAAAAATAAGGTTAACAAATTGATAAGGCAAAATTACCCCTTTGGTGAATCCACTGTTTTTCATGACACTATCAATCACTATTTTTATTATCTTGCAAGCTTCTTTTATCACTTTCCAGAATCTTCTCTACTATAGATGTTAGACTACCTGGTCTTTAATCTCCTTTTCAACACTTATGACCTCCTTTGAAAACAGAACTAATACGAGCAAGTCTCCATTCCTCAGCCTTCTGCCTATCAATTTTAGCCTACAGAAATTATATAGATGGAGAGAGAGAGAGAGAGGTTCACAAATCTGATCTTTGATTTTCTTTAAAACTGTGAAAAGCATTGTTTGGTCGGGTGCTTTATCTATTTTTTATCTCTCATGCTTTTTGCTTAATATCTATGAATTGATATTGATGTGATTTAGGATATTTATCAATTTAAGTTTCTTCTCTGATGATATTTAAAGTTAAACCTGATTTTATCCATTGTGTTCTTAGTAAGCCAATTTGAATTGATCTTCCCTTTCATTCTTTTCATATTTTTTGGGGAACATTCCACAGCTAATGCTATCAGTATTGTTTTTACTGACTTTATTTTACATGTTAAAAATATACACGTCATTTATTCCCACATTAATCAACAAAGAACTGTTGTTCTGAACAATATCTATCAACTCCCATCTGCTTTAGTAGGTTGATAACAGAGAATCAATCCATTGATGTTTTATAATATATATGCCTTTAGGTGCTTAAAATTAAATTGGTTAGGTGTGTTTTACTTTCATATTTTTATACTCTTTCATTATAAATAAGAGTTCAAGGCATGTAGCTAATTTTGGCACTTTTTACATTTCTGTTGGTAAAGTTGTAATTTGAAAACGTACTGCTTATGTTGAGAAACAACATTAGATCTGCTTATGGTCACACGATAACAGTAATTATGGACAATTCCACCTCTTTATCAGCCAAGGAAAATCTCATCCTCTCAAAGTTCTTGTATAAGTATAGATATAACACACTTTAGTTTAAGCGTACACTATAGGAGACTGGTTTAGTTCTTTAAGTAGAACTATTAGTATTACATAATTACCAAGCTAGCATGAAAGGTAATTACTTATCGTATTTTAACTAGAAAAATGCATGATATATGTTAGTCTAAGGAAGATCAAAGATACGATATCATATAATCCAAAAGTTGGATACTTCTCCTTCCAGCCCTCCTTTTGAAAGCGCTTGAGGTAAAAGAATTTCAACCTACATACATAAACTTTAAAGTTAAAAGCCTGACATTTTGCGAGCCAGCCAAGATTATACAGTGGTAAACGGCGGTGAAAGAAGACGTGAACGACAGTGGGAATAAGTTGGCCTATATAAGCACAATTGTAGTGGTGGCAAAAATAGTATAGAAATTACAATCATGCTATATAACCATGTCAACAGATTTGGATAAATAAATAGAAAAAGGTAAGCGTCTTGAGTTAAAAGATAGTGAACTACCAGAGTTTATTAAAGAACAACAAAAAGTAAAGAGAGAAGAGCATAAACAGAGAAGAGAGGAAGGAAGGAAGGTTAAATGAAGAAAAGGAAAGTGAAGAAAATGAAAGAACGGAAAGACTGGAAATAGAGAGAGAAATAATATAAGCACAAATTGTGAAAGAAGAAAATGAGACAGAGAGGAGAGACTGGAAATAGAGAGAATAAGAGCACAATTTGAGACTGCCAAGCTCATCCAACAGAAGTATGAAGGCCAGAATAACAATGGGGTCAGGACTAGCTAACCCAAGCTGCCCAAATTTGATGAACAGAAAGATTACATGGGTGCTTTCCTGGAGAGAATGAAAGATTTGCCCAAAGTCAGAATTGTCTCAGCCAACTTCTCAGAGGAAAAAGGCCTACGAGTATATGCAGGCATGACGTCAGAAGATGCCATGGACTATGACAAATTAAAAGTAGCCTTGTTAAAACAATATGAACTTACAGAAGAAATGTTTTCATCAGAAGCTCAGAGAAGGCAAACCTGACACTGGAGAAACTGTATTTCGTTTATGGCAGGTCTACGCTGTACTTCACCAGATGGACTGACATGGCCAGGTGTGAAAATAGTTTTGAGACTAACAGACTTGCTAATATGTGAACAGTTCATGAGCACGTGATCAACTGAAATATTACTGTTCCTTACAGAGAGAACACCAAAAGACGTGAACCAGATGATAAAGCTGGCAAAACACTATATGGAAGTCCATGGAGGGAGTATAACTGGCAAATCCAAGAATATCCAGATAATGTCGAAACCAGTGGTGGTTGACCAGAAGCAGGAGTCTACCAAAGATGACAGAAGGTTAAATGACAAATGAGAGATAGATGTATATTTGTTATAAAATAGGGAACATTATAAAGAAGTGCAATATCAACACCAACAAGCAACAGCAGAAATTTCAACATAAAGCAGCTGGAGCTACCTCAAAGATGGTGCTGGCAAGAAACAAGAAAAAAAGTGACTGTCACCATGAATTCTACTGCCAGATGAAACATAACCAAGAAAATACTTCAGATTCAGCACAAGAAGAAAGTGTCATTGTCATGTTTGATCAGTGCACGACAATTGGTCAGCTGAAGTTAGCAAATGGATTAACAGTGCCAATAGTGATCAAAGAATGTTACAGATATCGAGAGGTTCCTGTAAAGTACAATATGGCAGTAGGTGAAGGATATGTTAGGGACAAGAAGGTGAAAGTTCTATGAGACACTGGGTGCAGTAGTGCAGCAGTGAGAACTAGTCTAGTATCTGATAACAAGATGACAGGCAAAGTACACCCATGTGTGCTAATTGATGGGACAGTGAGAGTACTCCATACTATATGGGAGACCTTGAGGCCATGTGTATGAAAGCACCAATATATGACTTGGTGATTGGAAACATACCAAGTAGTAAGAATTTCGAGGAAATACAAAAAGAAGACTGGTGAAGCAACTGCAGTCACCACAAGAGCTCAAGGGAAGAAGAGCAAGCAAGATATCACACCTCTTAAAGTCTTGAAAAGTGACATCCTGAATATGGGTTCATAAAAGCTGAAGGAAGTGCAGAAGAAAGACCCTTCTGCTACGTCTCTGTTCGTTTGTTAATTATCCGTAAAAATTCTTTCTGAAGAAACTTTAGCAATACAAGTTCTCTCTTAAATAAAACTAGTTTATTCTTTCTCAATACAACTTTGCAATACACTTAATTTCCACAGTCATGCTATAACTTAAACAAACGCTATGATTCACAACGAACAATTCACGTGCTTGACTCAATTGTCCATCTCTATCTCTGTCTGCAATTCAATTCCCATTAATTTATCTCACATTATCCAGCACACTTATATACAGAAATAGAGGGCGCTTAGCACATACTGAATTATTCGTGATGTTCCCCAATCCTTCCAGAATATCATGATGTGTTACCAGCATCACGTGACTACCGCTGTCGTAACACTGCCCCTTCCTTAGTATTGTTCGTCCCGAACAACAGCCACTTACATTA